AGTTAATATGTACTTAATTGGAGCAAGTGAGTATCTATTAACTTAGAATTATTCTAGCTAAAATTTAGATGATTTATTCTGGTATATGTGCATAAATTTTCAGATTTTTGTGTTATTCTTATATGCCATTTTCATGTTGAAAATTCATGAAGAAGCAAGAATCTTTAGAAATACTTTTGAATGTTTATTTCATGCTTATGCCATGCTTTACATTTAAGGATACCAGTATGAGTATGTATAGGTTGTTCCAGAAAAGATTTAGACTTGAATGATCAAGAAAGTTGAGAAGTTGATTTAGATCCTAGCGAGGTCACACAGAACAATTTATTATTAAAGTATTTTTGAGAGTATTTTTGGGAACAATTTATTACAAGGTAAGGGTAAGGTCTGCGTGTGTACACACTACCCTCCCCAGACCCCACGGTGTGGGATATTATTGGGTATGTTGTTGTTGTTGTTGTTGTTGCCTCTATTCTGAGAAGGTGTCATCGTCCAGGCCGAGGGTCCTGATCAAGGCGTTGACTTCCTGAAACTATTTGTGCCAAAGTAGGGAGCACACGAGCCGAGGGTCTCATTGCTGAGAATTTACCTAGCCAGGCTAAGGTATGACACATGAGCGCTGAGAACCATGAAGCGAGTGGCACCTCGTGGATTGGGCCTATTCGATCAGGTTGGGATCGAATCCGTACCGATCACACGGTGACTAAGACAGAAATGAATCAGGATAGTTGGAACTCCCGAAGCATAAAGTGAAGTATTTTTTTTAGATAAGAAAGAAAAAGATAAGAATTTCTTTTAGAATATTCATAAACTGTTGTTATGCAATTATTTTAGAATTGTTCTTAGAAGCTTTATGCTTTCCATGCATTTAGAATCTTTGCTTTAATATATATTTTATTAAAGTTTTGTTCCCTGTCGTTGAGACTCAGTGTGTACAATGAATGGTACCGACGTTCTCTTTTGGGAACCTGCGTTGGTCTACGGTACAACGTAGTAACCGGTTTTGCAGGCGATCAGGCTACGGGTTAGGACTTTCCTCACTTCCAGTGCTATTGGTGAGCTCCCTTCTTGTTCGTGGAGTATTCCTTTGAGTCGTCATTATTTAGCTATTTCTTTGTTTACTTGGAGAACTGGCCAGGAAATCTCATGTCGTGAGCAGTGTGTCAGTTATCAGTGAAGGCTTCATAGACACAGCCGGTGGGTTAAGATTCATGTGTTTTTGATAATAACTTTGAATTATTTCAGTAGTTACTACAAATAAAGTTTTGGAGTGGGTTTATTTTAGATATTCAAATTAATTAAAAGTATTTGATTAAAATATTGCCTTGTTGCATATAAAGTTTGAAGTTATAATAATTTTGATAAGCGCAGATGGTTCGCTCGGTCAAATTTAGCGATCAGGTGTCTGTCACGGCTTGTTCAGAAAATGGGTCGTGACAAATTTAACTGTAAAATATTTAGTTTACCCTTAATGAGATGACTAATACACAAGTTTCAAAAGTTTCTTTGTTAAACTCTATGCCCAGTCAAACACCATTACACAAATTGGGACAGAGAAGTATAAATAAATAAATAGACAATTAAAACCTAGGGATGGCAATTGGGGCAGGGCAGGGCGGGGCGGGACAGGGCTGGGCAAACACTTAATGGGGCAGGGCAAGGGAAGAATTAGGCGGGGCGGGGCGGGGCAAACTTTATTTTGGATTATCTGAAAGTTGCTCAATCTATTTGACATTTTGATTGAATGATTCAGAATCACATCTATCTCTCTGTTATCATTTTTTTTGTTGGCTTTGAATATAGTAACTGTAACGGTATGGTCCAGTTGGATTGCTTGTTAAATTCTTCATATTGTTACTAGTAAAATGATGAATTGAATGGTAAAGTTTTTACTAAAATTCAAACTTATTGGTCTTGAAAGTTGTAACAGATTGTGTTTAATCATTTTGTTGCCATTGGTTTCTTATTTTAACATTAACTGATTACTCCATTAAAGGAGCATATCATTTTGTTGCCATTGGTTTCTTATTTTAACCTTAATTGATTACTCCATTAAAGGAGCTAACTGCTGGAAGCATAATCTATAACAAAAAATAATTATTTCAGTGAATAATTTATGCGTATGAAATAAATTTTGAATCAATTATTGAACAAGGATAAAACAACTTAGTCAAGTTCCAATTGGTTCTTTTAATATATAAAGTTCAAATAAAAAATTGAAAAAGTTAAAAAATTATTTTAGAATACTACAAAAGAAAAAATAAAGACAAATAATTTTATTTTTTTAAAAAAAAAAAACATAAACGGGGCAGGGCGGTTCAAAATGTTAGCAGGTCAAGGCTTGGCCAGCCCTGCCCCGCTCCATTGCCATCCCTCTTAAAACCTCAATCTTTTGCAGTAAACATTGCTGCATTGTTACTTTGCCCTAACCCATCCTTAAATAGATAGGAACTTAAGGTGGAAAAGATAAAAAAAAAAAAATTATTATTATTATATATATCACATTGCAATAGAGGTAACACGAATTCAAACATTAAGCACAAGAATCAAAGACATAGAAAATCGTACCACACAAATCATTAATCTTTTTTGACATTTCCTTGAGTTCCTTTTCAACTTTCTTTATGCTTGTTGAATAAGGTCCCAAACCCTGCATAAATCATTTCCAATATTTAGTAAAATTTAATCTTAATCTTAAGAAAATTCGTGATATTTCCCCAATAGCTGGGCATTAAACATGAATTACAGGAAAGACAAAGAAGAGTTACATAAGTCTTGAGAAGAGCAATATCATCTTCATCAAGAGGCGGAGGGTTCTTCTCGTCCTTTATCTCATCCTCCACATCCGCTGCGGTTGGTGCCATTGATTTTCGAGATGCACAGAAATGGAAGTTTCAGCTGATTCTCTACTCAGAGCAGTCCTTTTGTTAAACCCAGAACCGGGCCGTCTAATGCACCTGCTAGGAGGCCGGTTTAGTCCGCACAAATAGCCACTTTTAAGGGCAATATATTTAAGGGAAAAGGTTCAAATTTGCCCCTCTACTATGGTATATAGTTTATATTTGTAAGCCCGTTATACTTTTCGTCCAAATCTACCCTTACCGTTAATAAAGTTTGCACAATTGCCCTTTGGTGTAGATCCGTTAGGGTTAAGGGCAATTATAGAAAATTTGTTAACGGCAGGGGTGGATCTAAACGAAAAGTATAACGGGGACAAACTTAAACTATATACCATAGTAGATGGACAATTTTGGACCTTTTCCCTTATTTATAACTATTTAAAGTTTAGCCATTTTGTAAGTTTCTTTCTTTAATTTTTTTATAAAATAAAATCAAATATTGTCAATTTTTAAAAAAACTTAAATTCAAATAAAAAATTATATCGCTTTTTTTAATCATTAGTTAAATTTTTTATTTGAATCATTTCTCACCAGATGGTAAACACACGTAACTCGGTGCACGAAGCATGCCGTATTCACGCAAGTTCCGAAAAGGGTCGCACCTAGGGGTGTTCAAAACCAAACCGTNTAACCGTTAAGCCAAACCGTTAAGAGTAATTAACCGCCCAATCTGCCCGATAAGCAGCCCTAGCCGCACCCCAAGGGATGTAATGTAGGCAGCATACTCAAATGCAAGCATTAGTGGCTGATTCCACAGCTCGAACTCATAACCTATAGGTCACACTGCGATAACTTTACCGTTGTTCCAAGGCTCCCTTCTAGATCGTGAACACCTTTAATTATAATAATAATAAGAAGAAAAACTAAAAGGAAAAAAAAAGATAGAAACTAGGATCTATGGAGCTATTTGCGTATATTAGAGTGTGTTTGGATTTGCTTTTAAGCTGGACAAATCAGCTTTTAAATTTTTTTTTAGCTTTTTTCAATGTTTGGTAATGTTAAAAAGTGCTTTAAATAAGTTAAAATTGCTTAAAATAAGCAAAAAATAATAAGTTGAGCAAACCCAACTTATTGCTTTTTAGCTTAAAAGTTATTTTTGCTGAAATGACACTTTTTTTAAAAGTAAATCCAAACGGTCTCTTAGATGTGTATGGGTACACTAGGACTGGGATGTTACCTTTCATATGCCAACTAACTAATTCAACATGTCAACAATAAAAATAGGAGAAAAAACAACTAGACCTTTTAGTGAGTGAATCGACTGAAATTACCTCCCCCAACCACAACCAAAGAAGAAAAGCAAATCCAAGTGCTATGATGAATTTTGGTCACTATTGGATGATGATCAATAGATTTCAAACTCTAGTTTGACATTTGACAGAGGGCTTTACAAAACTTTACCTTATTGATTAACTGGGTTATCAACCCAAATTATTCTGTCAATGACTCCTTCCAGCTAAACCAAAAAATATAGTATACTCCGTCCGTTCACTTTTACTTGTCTACTATACTAAAAATATATTTTCACTTTTACTTATCTACTATACTAAATTAAGAGAAAAATATTTTTTTTTTCTTGTTTTACCCTTATCATTAATTACTCATTTTCAAAATTATTTTTCAAGACTTTTTGAAATGCTATCATTATTAGGGGTTATATGGTAAAATATACACTATAATTATTATTTTTTAAGGAGCGTAAAAGTCTAAAGTGGACAAGTAAAAATAAAAGAAGGGAATAACATATTAATAGATATGTAAAGTAAACATAACATAAACTCAACTAATTTGGCAGAAAAAATTCTGAAGAGCAATAACTATGTGCAGATCCGAGGGCTATTTTCTAAATAGGGAGTATTAAATTTCTAGATATTCGACTTAAACCATCTCCTTATGGGCCATTCCTTTCAATAACCCGAGCTAAACCAATTGTTTCTCTTTTCTTTTTTCCTTTATTTATTTTTGTAATGTCAAACTTGACACTTTGGTCTGCCTAAGTAAAAGTCAAGGCAATATCTCTCCCATGACCTCAACTTTCTTCCGTTCCACGTTTTCAGTAGGAAGAGTCGGGTCAAAGCAGAAGCCTCTTAGAAATGAACAAGGCGGGGCAGAAATTAATTTCTTGTTTGAATTCTTCTTCGTCGTCTTAGCCATCCATTCAAGACTCCTTACACCCAACTCATAAATACTACCTCTAATTCCACCTCTCATCCTATAAGCCAAACACTTTGTTCGCTCTCTCTCAAAAACCCACTTTGGCACTTGTTCTTTCCTTTAACAATTAGCTAAATCGTCTTTTTTTTGCCAAAAGAAGGTCGTCCTTGTTTCAGATTAAATGGAAGATGCTTCGAGCAGTACTAGCAATAAACTAGATGAGTCAAGTGCGTTAGCTTTCTTAGGAAAGATTATGTTGGGGGTAATCATATTTGTATTCCTGGTTGTGATCTTCATATTCTTCCTTCACCTTTACGTGAAATGGTCCCAGAATCGTCGCCGGCAAGAAGCCGACGACGACTCCAACGGCGGCACAGGGCGCCGCCACAAAGTCAAAGTTCAGGGACTTGACCCGTCAATTCTTAAAACAATTCCTGTGCTTGCATTTGATGCTAAAGAATTCAAAGATGGAACACTGGAATGTACTATTTGTCTTTGCGATGTCACTGAGGGTGAAAAGACAAGATTTTTACCAAAATGTAATCATGGGTTTCATGTTGATTGCATTGACATGTGGTTTCAATGTCATTCCACTTGCCCTCTTTGTCGTAACGCAGTTTCCACGACTGGGGATAAAACACCCGAGTCAGTGGAATCAGAGGCTGAGGAGGTTGAGGCTTCAACAGAGTTGCCGAATTTCCCAACCAATGTGCTGTATTGGGGAAATGAGACTCAAGTTAGCACTTTATGTAATCCTTGTTTGGACTCAACAGCATCTACGAGTAATAATCGGACAGATGGAATGTTGGTGATCGATATTCCAGGGCGAATTATTGAAGAAGAGTCGAAATCTGTAATGCCTGAAAGACTGAGGCGTTTGATGAGGCTTTTGAGCGGGGATAGAAGGGCGTTTAATCCTTCTAGTTCGCGAAATGTAGATATAGAACAAGGTGGTGGTAGAAGCCCGAGCTAGCATAGACTCAGAGACGGATTCAAGAAGTGAGTTTGGTTCCCTTTATATATGCCTATTGCGTAGTACATACTGTAATGTAAATGCAATTAAGGTATAGAGTTCATTGATTCTTGTTGCAGATGAAAAGTTGACACTTTGGTGTCTGCATCTTTTAGGTGTGTATAGGTAGTGGATATATTAGTACATGTATAAACATATTGTAGTAGGCTTCTCTCTCTGTTTGAGAATAGATGCAATCCATCTTCTCTTACAGAAGAGTGTTAGAAGTTATTTTTTGTCAACGTGAGCAGTGAGCTTTTCTGCTACAACATTTACTCTTTGCTTGAGTTTGGTATCTTTCAGAAAATACTTCTATATTTGAGCTAATGGTTAGAATTAATATTCCTTTATATATGGTCAAAGAAATGCAAACAATTGCTACTTATTTGTTGAATTCAGGTTGGCTAAGACCTAGAGGCGAAATTAATTTGAAATTTATGGGTTCTGAATTTGTCGTATAGTGTTATTCCCGCCAATATTGCTGTATTTGTAAATAATAATTCTGCAAAATATAAGTTAGCGTAATGAAACAGTAATTAATTCGAGCCCACTGAATTCACAGTGTTTCCTTAAGGAATTTAATCCCCTCCTAGTACTCAAGGTAATGGATTATTTCCTCCCAGGATAGAACGAATCACACACTGGTGTAGCGGTACTTCAAACCCCAGTGTTTCAGCGAACACAAAATTCGGTAACAAATCACACTTACAATTGCTTTGTTTGAAGTTAAAACAATGCAGAACGAAGGAGTAGAAACTCAAAAAATCGTATGGAAATGCTGAGAGGAAGAAGTGCAATGTATAGCCAAATCCTTTATATATGTTCAACAGCTGCTGCACATATATATAGCAGCCAGTGTTGAAGTCAATCAATCGATCATTTGTCCGAAGCCGAAGCCGAAGCCGTAGCCGAGCGAGCGACGACGACGGCGGCGCGAGGCTTGCTTTCTTCTTAACTCTTTAAGAGCTACAAGAAGAGCAATTATATATATACCCACCAAAAATCTTTTCCTCTTCTAATATGGGACAATGTCTCATTGTCAAGAGGGGGAAACTTAAAATTTTACTCAAAATTTCATTTTCCCTCTATTTCCCATTCACCCTCATTTTAAGTCTATTTCATCTTAAAAATAAAAAAACTCAACATATAGGCCATAGCTCGTTTTGGTTACTGGATTCGCTGAATTTGTCCGAACCCGTATGTAATACACTACCTCCGCCTCTGCTTAGACCTGCTTTTTTTTATTGGTTGCTTTTGCTTCTCTTTCACAAAAACTCACACACAGAGAGTTGAATCACTTGATCAAAGTCAAGAAGGTAGTTTCTCATTAACCGAAATGCNCCCACAGTCCCACCCACCCCCTTCTCTCAGTTTTTCTTTCTAAAATATTGTACTACTATAAGTCTATAATCATCATCATCACCATCATAATGCTGCCAAATAACAAGTGAGTTACATTTCCAAGACTGCAACCAGCTAATTTAAAATTAAGAGCATCTTTTGACTCACAAACACTCTTAAATGCTTTAACACCTATCTATAATTTGGATAAATTTCACACCGATAGTCATATAACTATGATATTTTTTTATCAAAGGCATATAACTTTATTTTCTCAAACAAAAATTATATAATTATGACTTTTTTTCGTCAAAGTCACATAACTATGTTTTCTCACACAAAAATTATAAAACTTTTACTAACTCACACAAAAATTATAGTGATCGAAAAATATAATTTTTTGTAATATTTTCTTATTTTGTGATTTTTTATTTTTTATTTTCAGTCTAATATATAATAATCCAGTTAAAATAGGAATGACTCAACCCGGCCTAACCCACCCGATCCAATACTCATACATATAAATTAAAATAATACTAAAAGTGAATAGTAAATTCTTCAAAAAATGATACTTCTATCTTTTATTTTACTTTTCAAGATTTTTATTCAAGTTGATAGCATTTTTATTTCAAGTGTTCTCCAATTATACCTTTTATTTCTTTGTTTTTTTGTCAGAATCTCATGCATTCCGAACTAAATTTTTTATGGGGGAAGAATTCACTTTTAGTATTATTTTAACTTATGCATATGGGTATTAGATCAGGTTGGGTTGGGTCATTCCTATTTTAAGTAAAAAATATAAAATTAACCATCCGACCGAAACTAATTGTATTTGCTAGCCAATATAATATTTTATTGGCTATTATTTTTAGGAGCGGTTCAAAATATACTCATATTTCTTCTATTTTAATTGGGTAATTATTTATTAGACTGAAAATAGAAAGAAAGAAAAAACATAAAATAAAAAAATACTACCGGAAAATTTATTTTTCGACCACTATGATTTTTGTGTGAGACAAAAGATGGTTGCTCTAGTGGTGAGTACCCTCCACTTCCAACCAAGAGATTATGAGTTCGAGTCACCCCAAGAGCAAGGTGGGAGTTTTTGGGGGAGGAAACCGAGAGTTTATCGGAAACAACCTCTCTACCCTAGGGTAGGGGTAAGGTCTGCGTACAAACTACCCTCTCCAAACCCCATTATTGGGATTATACTGGGTTGTTGTTGTTGTATGATTTTTGTGTGAATTAGTGAAAGTTTTATGATTTTTGTGTGAGAAAACAAAGTTATATGACTTTGGTGAAAAAAAGTCATTTACCCCTACAATTTCGAAATTAATAATATGAGATATTTTAAATAATCAACGAAAATGATTTCACATAGTGATGAGAGTCTTAAGTCAACAACTGTATGTATCATTTACTAAGAGAAAACACAATTTTCTTATAGTAGTAATTGCAGAGTAATGATTTTTACTAAAAAGACAACAATAACAATTACAAATCCAGTAAATTTTCACAAGTGGAGTCTCGAGAGAGTAACATGTACGCAACCTTATCTCTACCCTGAAAGACAGAGAGGCTGTATCTGATAGATCCTTAGCCAGTGGCGGATCTAGAGCACTGTTACTGGGTTCCCGGGAACCCATTAACTTTTGCATAGACGTTGTATTTCTATTAAAAAATTCACGAAATATTTATAAATAGCTAATATGAACCCAGTTATTATTGTATATTAATTTAAAATTACGGTAGGAATCCATAAACTTCAAATGCTGGATGCCCTTGGCTAAAGAAAATATGAAAAGAAGTAATAGCAACAAGTAATAACAACAACAAGATAAAAGAAGACAATTTAAAAAGAAAATTCAAAATATAAAGAAATAAACACACGACTAAACCAAGTGAATTCAACATTTACTATAAACACACAAAATTGAGACTACGAAGAACATGATTCGGGAAACAAATCAAAATGGAAGCATAGAATTTTAGCTAGATGAAAAAATCACAACTACCACAGAATCTTTTTCAGGATTTTAGTAGTATTAATTAGCTTTAAATGGATTTCAACAAAACCAAATCAATTTTTAATGCAAGAATTCAAATATCTCGAGATATAGAGTTGAAAACAATATAGTAAACCACTTCACTGATCTTCCAGTTTATCAAAATATTATCACGTGCCACACCACATGATCACTCTGAAACTATCACAACTAATCTGGAAATATCAGAGTCTCAATATATTAAAACAGTCAAATGAGCAAACATCACATGATCCCACTAGCATCGGATCCTTCACTACATTTAATTAATTTCAACATACATATAAATCTCATTACCAAATCTTGATCATCTATTACCTTAAGCAAAACTCATATTTCTTGATCAGTTATTGAACTTACTGCACCACATTATGAAGTGCCATTCAAGAATACTGGCAACTTTTGTTGTAGCTCTTATCTTGATTCTACATTCATGCCCTAATGCTGCAGAAGCAGCTCGCTTCGTCTTATCGGAACAACATTCATCATCAGAAACTACGCTCAAAGTTCAGAAGCAACCATTCAAGAAAGTTAAATCAAGCTTTCGAAGAATACCTCGAAGCAGATCCAATCCTACACAAAATAAGTAATTTCTGAAACCCCAAATGTTCAAGAGTTACTTGTACAAGCAGTTCTTCTCATATGTCGCGCATTCTTGTACCAGGTCCAAGCCCCCATAGCCATAGCATAGGATCACAGGGCAAAGAAGAGTGTCAGTTCTTTCATTCAATTTTTTTTATGTAGTTTGCAGCATTAGATATTAGTCTCTTCTTAGAATAGCCAATAGTGGCACCACTTAGCATCTACTTTTTGTTCTTTTGTAGCAACAAGGTTTGCTGCTAGATGTATTTCCTTAGTATTATACAGATATGAATGTTATAAACTTTTCATATCAAGGTGCATTTATGTCCCAACTCTTTCTAACTAAGCAAAAAAAGGGCAGCATGGTGCATTAAGCTCCTGCTATGCGCGGGGTCGGGAGAAGGGTCGAAGCATAAGGGTTTATTGTGATGATCCAAAATATCATCTTTAAATTTAATAATTAATTTTGTGTTCTAAGACCTCGAAAGTACTATTTATCATTCCTTGACTTGCGTGCGTAGTCTATAAAATTTTCCGGAAAGTTTTGAAGTGAAAAATGGATTAAAATGTGAATTAGAGCTTTAAAACTCAACTGAGTTGACTTTGGTCAACATTTTGAGCAAACGGACTCGGATCAGTGTTTTGACAGTTTTGATAGGTCCGTATCGTAATTTGGGACTTAGGCGTATGCCCGGAATCAAATTCCGAGGTCCCTAGCCCGAGATATGGAATTTTGATGAAAAATTAAAAGTTTAAGTTCAAATAGTGACCGGAAGTCAAATTATGTGCAAACGACCCCGGAATAGAATTTTAATAATTCCAACAGTTCCCTATGGTGATTTTGGACTTAGGAGCGTGATCAGAATTTTATTTGGAAGTCCGTAGTAGAATTAAGCTTGAAATGCCAAAAGTTGAATTTTTGAGAAGTTTGACCGGGGTTTTGACTTTTTGATATCGAGGTCGGAATTCGATTCTGGAAATTGGAATAGGTCTGTTATTTTATTTATGACTTGTGTGCAAAATTTGAAATCATTCCGAATTGATTTGATGTGTTTCGGCACAAGATATAGAATTTGAAAGTTAAAAGTTCATAGATTTTGATTTGAGGTGTGATTCGTCGTTTTGATATTATTTGATGTGGTTTGAAGCCACGAATAAGTTCGTATTATATTTGGGAACATGTTGGTATAATTGGTTAAGGTCCCGAGGGTCTCGGGTGGATTTCGGAAGGTAAACGGAATGAATTTCGGACAAAGAAGGCTTTCTTGTGCGTGGAGCCAAATTTGGAACCTTATATC